AGGCTTTTGATATATGGGCGCAGAATACTACTCTAACATTTGAAAATGTTCGCATACCTAATCCAAGCGCAGATATTGCGATTTTCGTTACAAAAAGGAATCATAACACTCGCTTTAATTGTCAAGGAAATCATGAATGTACATTTAAGTTTGATGGTCCAGGAGGAGAACTCGCTCACTCGTATTTTCCTAGTAATGACACATGCATCGAGATTCATATTGATGAAGAAGAACCGTGGTATATAGGAGATGGAAAAACACCTGAAGAACAATACAACTTATTTATGGTGCTTGTTCATGAAATTGGACATGCACTTGGTTTAGGGCATAGTAGTAATAAAAATGCAATTATGTATCCTTGGTATCAAGAAGAAAATAGACCACTCGATGAAGATGATGTAATAGGCATGGAATCCTTGTATGGAAGTCGACAAAAATTTGCTAAAATTCCTCCAAATATTTTTAAAATGATGACTGAAACCGCTACAAAACCTACCACAACTAAAAAACCAACCAGCACCACAACTATAAAACCAACCACCATCGAGACGTCAACTAAATACCACACTAAATCACACACAACTACAGCTACAACGGAGTCAAATATATTGTCCAACATTCCATCGCAAAAATCGTCTACAAATTTATGCAATATTAAAATACCTAACTTCATGTTTTTAGCAACGGCAGAAAGCTTTCCTAGTTATCGAATGTATGTAGGCCACGAAAGTTTTTTGTGGAAATTAGAGTTAAATGATATGCATATTCCACTCACATCAGAACTTATTGTCGATTATCTTCCTAGAGAGCTCAAATCTCACAACATTTCACATATCTTTCAAAACTCTGTTGGAGACTTGGTTACAATCAGTAAACAAATGGTGTACGTAGTGACGTTTCCTAATCTAAACATTCAACATAGTTTTAATCTGCCGATTCAAAATATTAAAGTTATTAATGCCCTATTTCAAACAAACAGTGGGCGAATATACCTGTTGTACAACAATGATATATACATTGAATTTAATGAAACTGGAGAAATACTTAATCGTGGAAGAACAAGAGATCTGTTTCCTGGAATTCCTGGAGATCTAACTTCTGCATTTAGATATATAGATGGACATATATACTTTTTCTATCGAAATACCTACTATAAATACAGTGAATATACAAGAAAAGTTGTAGAAGCAGGAACCTTTAGCTGGAATCTGTTTGGAGTACCATGTCCTGATGATAGCATATTGAATCAATTGAAAACTATGTTAACAAAAATTATTTCTTTTTATGAATAAAATAATAATACTAAAGACTTCTGCTTTTTTTTACCCACTCAAAATAAAAGTCAAAAATAAAACTTTTGCTAATATAAAAAAAACTTATCTTTTAACTTAATGTTTTGAGATGATTTTATATCAGGAAGGATTCTGTTTTACGTTAATGACTTCCTGCGAAAAATGTTCTAGTAAATATAAACTTTTTTTTTTTGACAATGATACTTGAAGATGCATCTGTCATTTTATATGATTTAAGCTCCATGTTTTGTTATAAATATTCTCGTATAAGTCCTTCATACTCTTCATATTGCATGAGCTTGTTGAATGAAAACTTAGCTTTGACGTAGAAAATTATACTTGTTGTACTTTGAATGAAATCTAACATTAGAATTAGTCGTACAAAAAGTAAATAAGAGTTTGTTGATTGAAAACTTACATTTATTAGCATTGGTATTGATATCTGTCTACAGATTGCCTATAGATATTTTCTTTTCTTTTTCTTATTTTTGATGTTTTCAAAACGTATGTATTTAAAACATTTTCGGTAGCCTTTATAATTAATTTTGTTATTACACTGTGTATACTTTTAGATAGATATTTCCCTGTATATATATTTTTGTCGTATAATACATCGTAGATATCTAACAATATGTTGAGTTTTTACAGGATGTGTAACCACAAGAAATGATAATATTGCTTTGAACAACGTCTCAGCGATAATTATTATATAGAAATCTTTTAAAAACAGAAAACGAAAATGTGTGTGAGTACAAAAGTTTTAATACTAATGGATTTAATGAGAGATGTAATTAAAAACAAAAATGAGAATATTATGAAGATAGCATAGACAGAAGATAGTATAAAATAACCTAGTGGTGCTAATACTAACCGAATTTACTGACTGATGTCTTATTTTTGTAGAAATATACAGCAACTAAATAAGTAAGAATATCGTAACAAATGAATGTCAATAATTAGGGGAAAAGTGAGTACAAAGGTTTACAGATGTCTTTAACGATAGCTATTATCTTTTTGGGTTGAAAAAACAACTGATGTCATATTTTTAGGATAATGAAAGATACAATATAAGCGAAGATACCATACTGAAATGTCAGTAATTAATGAAAAAGTGTATTTAAATGTCTAAGAATGGGGCTTTTTATATTGGATTTTTATGATAGATGCCATAATTTTTAAGATAGAAGATGTAAAACCGAAACTAAACAATAAAATATATACGGAAAAAGTGAGTACAAACGTTTTTAATAGTGACAGATGACAGATGTCATATTTTTAGGATAGAAATGCTAAATATAAAAGCAATCGATAATTACTTTCTAAAAATGAATGAGGCCTTTTTATTGGATTTAACGAGTCATACGAGACAGAAGATGATGCAAAAATACTGAAACTAAATAATAATATACGAAAAAAAGTGAGTACAAACGTTTTTAATAGTGACAGATGACAGATGTCATATTTTTAGGATAGAAATGCTAAATATAAAAGCAATCGATAATTACTTTCTAAAAATAAATGAGGCCTTTTTATTGGATTTAACGAGTCATACGAGACAGAAGATGATGCAAAAATACTGAAACTAAATAATAATATACGAAAAAAGTGAGTACAAACGTTTTTAATAGTGACAAATGACAGATGCCATATTTTTAGGTTAAAAAGAATATTGAATAGGCATACGAAAACCTGTAGAGATGACAATGGTTGGATAGTTGCGATATTTTTTAGGTTGATAGCTTGAAAAAAAAAAGATGGTAATAATAAATGTTTTTGATTATTAAGATTGAAAATGTTAAATGTGAAGATAATCGAGTACAAACGAAGATGGTATATTGTAATTGTATTTATTTTTAATAAAGATTAAGACGATGACACGACAATAACGTACTGCGCAGGTTTACATACGATAATGGACGAAGAGTATTTTGTTACCTTTTTATCATCGACAATAAACGTATAGTATTTTTATTGTACTTGTAAGTAATAAGGAAACGACGATGATGTATGACTACAATACGAACAATACGACTTCTTAGACTTATTCTCAAATACTGAACTTTTGACTGCTACCTTTCCGTATTCAGAGACCCAGAAAAGTAATGTCTCCTTGGTATTACATTTTCTGTACTAACCAACTATGGCCCCTTTGGTAATGCAGCACCGTGTATTCTTTAAAGATTAAGCGGAAAAAGTGGCTTCGCCACCTCGGCCCTTTTGGCACTTCATTAAATAAATATTGCTCCCTTACGACTCGGGGTAAACATCATCATTTTTGCTATTTATGTTGACAGCAAGAAGAATGCGGTAGTGGTAGTGACGTTCGGTGTGGGTCTAGATGGGGCCTTGTGTGGCTAACGTAAAATGTAGGAAGTTACAAACTAACGTTGGCTGACAGCGTTTAGCAAAATTAATGTTAGGCAACACATATTACTTTTAGATGACATCTGGGCTGCGGGACATTTATTGTAGGCAATACACACTACCCCACGAAGCGCAAGTGACAGCTTTGACGTAAGAGGATATATATATATATAGTTGACAGAAGCGACGACAAGTTATTATTTTTACAGGTTAACCAACATAATTTACAATCTCGAATAGATTTTTTTTCAACGTAAAAGAGGTTAGGAATTGACGACTCCCCCATGGGGGTTATGTTCATCGGCGCGTCTCCGCGTGGCGGGCCCCCGGGCAGCCGATCGTTCAAAGCGGGGGTTATGTTCACCTCGGCGGCGGAAATCCTCATCGGGGCAATTGACGGATCGACCGTTAAAAGTGGGGTTATGTTCATCGGCGCGACTCCGCGTGGCGCGCGCCTCGTGGCGGGCCCCGGGGCCACGGGCAGCTGTCTAACGACCGTTTAAACTGGGGGTTATGTTCGCCGCTCATTGGCGAAATCCTCATCGGGGCAGTTGACGGATCGACCGTATGACACACACACGGACAGCTGATGACAGACACCTGACAGATGACAAATTCTAATCCAACCGCCAGAGGGCGCCGCCGCCGCAGCCGATGGCCTTTTTCTCCCGCGTTCCACAGCCAACAAAAACTGACAGCGAAAAGAAGAAGAATTGACAACTAATAAAAAAAGAAGAAGAATTGACAGATGACACATTGACAGATGACACATTTAGGTTAGCCAACTTCGTGGCTATGGCCGCGCATGCGCAGTAAAAAAGTTCCCAGGCCCAAGTGTCCTGACCCCTGCTACAATACTTTAAAAAAAAAAATAATTTTATCATCATGTATATTATGGCCTGATGATGGTCATTGGCCGAAACTAGTCTCCCTTATCGCCCTCTTTTTAATAAAATTTGTTGTGGTTAAGACTTTAAGATTTTCCCTTTCCTTTAAATAAGAGGGTTCTTGAGAACGCTAACAGTCTGAAATTAACATAAACTAAACATTTTTGTGAATAAACTAAAGGACAATTTAGCGATAGAGACGAAAAAGTATACCATTGTTTCTTATGTTTTTGTGATTCACACCATATTCGAGCGTGTAGTCAAATTTTTTCACTGTGAGTTATATCTTCTGTTACAAATTTTTGTTCTATTTTTTTAGGTGGTTTATAATTGACAAAGTTTGAATTCTTGTTATGCAATTTATATTAAAGTAACGAAGAAAGCATGTACAAATAGTCAATCTATTAAAACTAATCGACCTATAAAAAATATAATTTTTTTTTTAGATTTTTCTTACCGTAACACTCAAAAGGCCGCTATTGATCAGTACCATGATAGCCACACATCTCTTGAACTTTATATTTTGAGTAATGTCGTAAATGAAGGCTCTAAATTTTTTCCCATCCGGTCTAGGAGGGAGATGCAAAGGTTGGGCAATCTTTAGCCTTTTTTTCAAGTCACACCTAAAGATAAATTATTTATTTATGAGAGATAATTACTTTACTGGGGAATATATTTTTTCATATTAGATCGAAAAACAAAAGTTAGGATTTTCAAAAAATTTCTAAGTTCGATTGGAAAATTTTTCGAAATAAAATTTCAAATGTCAAAAGTTCAAATAACCAAAGTTCGAAACTAAGAAATTTCGAATGACAAAAGTTTGAAAGTGAGAAAAAATCGAAACCAAAAAAGAACAAATAATAGAAATCGCTTATAATCGAAATTACAAACAGTCGAAATCAGATATGATCGAAATCACATTACTTTAAAAGTACTAATGATCGAAATGATATATGATCTAAATGGTATGTATAAGATCGAAAGCATTGTATTATAAAATTAGTAAATTAGTTTTTTTTTTATTTATCAAATTTTATTTTTTTGCGAAGCAACTTGCGATTGCTCCAGGCCGCACAGGTTAGGTAAATTATTTTTTTTATTTCTCCCATTTTATGTATAATTTTTCTGCCTGGCAAACTCGCGATGGCTCCAGACCGCACAGGTTAGATACTAGGAAAATATTTTTTAATGTTCCTTGGTACAATGCTAAAACCACGAATATGCCAATTTTCAATTTTAAGAATGTGGTACATTCAGCTTTTTCAAAATAAACATCGGGCGTAGAGGGTAGTTAGACTGCCAAGGCACAGTCGATGACTTTGGCATTGATGACTTTCAAGATTAACACGTCTGCTAAAGCCCTTAGGCGAATAATGCCAAAATTGTACATTCGTGGTTTTGGCATTGTACCGACGAATTTTACAATTAAATTAAACCATCTGAGTTCCATTTTTATAGTATAAAAATTGTTATTTTTTAAACTATCAAGTTTGAAAACACAACTCTTTATATTGTTGATATGTGTTTTTAAACTTGATAGCTTAAAAATAATAATCTCAACACTAAAAAAATGGAATGGGCGGTAAAGTACCTTTAATACCACACATAAACTGAGATGTTTGAATTTAAATGTTGAATATATGGAACAAAATAAAATAATTTTTCTGGTTTTCTAATTTAAAAAAACTTCACTAATTTACCTAACCTGTGCAGCCTGGAGCCATCGAAATTATTTCACCAACTCGTAAAATTCAATTTAAGCGATTTTATTCTCTTCAAACTAACAAATGGTGACGAGGGTATTTGATTCATACATATTTAAAAATACATTACAAAACACTCACCATCTTCTTTGGTCTACAGTCAACAGAGCTGTCCCTTTGTTTTCAGAATAATTTGCAATTACAACACCCACGAATAAAGTGAGTCCAATCATACAGCCCAAGAAAATGTAGACATGGATGTAGATAGCGTGTACCTGAAAATGCGATTAAATCATATACATCTAGCCTTACCCAATTGCTACAATTTCTGTATTAATTTAATTAACTTACAGGTCCCAAATTTTTTATAAGGATATCCCTCACATCTAGCCACCCCTTGAAAGACAAAACCTCGAAAAGGGTTAACATTGCGTCACCAATGTTGTCGAAATTGAATCTTCTTGGATTTGCCCTAAAAATTTCAATAAATATATAATTTATTTATAAACGTCTACAGATTTTATAAATAAAAGAATATCATAGCACCTCTATTTGCCCTATGACTAGAGTATTTAAAAAAAAACCTTATCATTTTTGAATTTTTTTGTTTTTTTATTTTTTGTTTTTTTGGTTTTTTTTGTTTTTATTGGGTTTTCTCTCTGGTTTTTTTTGTTTTTTTTTGTTTTTTTTTTGTTTTTTCGTTTTCATCTTTTTTTGGAAATAAAAATGTAGTATTATTGTGTATCTCATCCTACATAAAGATGGAAATTACAATATTGAATTTGTGATAAAATTTTGTATATTTATAGAATAACAAAGGCCCAAGAAATGACCTTTAAGGAACTCCCGATCTTAAATTGAAATATTCTGATTTAGATTAGATTAGTTGTATTTATTTCGTTTTTTATATCTTGTTTTTTCCATTTTTTGTTTTTTTTTTTTTTGTTTTTTTGTTGTTTTTTTGTTGTTTTTTTTTGTTTTTTTGTTGTTTTTTTTGTTTTTTTTTTGTTTTTTAAGCTTTGTTTTTTTGCTTTGTTTTTGCTTTGTTTTTGCTTTTTTGTTTTTTTTTTTGTTAAGTTTGTTTTCCTTTAAAAATTACCGAAACAATGACGCTAATTTATTGACTTGCGCCTGATATAAATCATTAACTTAAAAATTTAAAAAACATGTTTTTGATCAGACCTGTATCGCTAATTAAGATAGTTTGCTTTTGCAGTTACAATTTGATTTTTGTTGTTGATTTTAGTATTTTCACTTATTTTTTTATGAGTCACTTACCACACTCTAGGCACCATTATAGCAGGAAAAGTTTCATTTTCGCCAGGTTGCACTTTCATTTTGGTCACAAAAACTCTTCTCATGAACATACCCACGCAGTCTTCCCTTCTGGTAATGTTGGGGTCATTACATCTAGCTAGTCTTCCACCATATAGTTGCACCCCGAAACTGGCAAATATGAACATGAGTAAAATGAGCAGGGTCGATACTAGTAAAATTTCTTTGAAACCTCTACACAGTTCGTACACCACTTTACTCATGTGGGGAACCAGAGTAAAAATTCTGAGTGGTCGTAAGCAACGTAGAATCATCAGAAGTTGAGCACCTGAGTTTGGAGGCACGCTTTTCGGCATCCAACACAGGAAAGTGAGACTAACCTTAAAAAAATATAGAAGTTTATCCCAGGATCCCACCATACAGAATATTTAGTATGCAATAGAAATATTTTCATTATTTTTTTTTATTTGTACAGCGATAAAAATTTGGGGTCTACTCTATATTTCTCACCAACAGCAAATCAATTATAATAAATTGATTCACAGTATTTTTTTATTATTATAATATTTCTGAAGAAACAATTATAGAAAGAAAGAAAAAGATTATTAATTCAACATATTCAAACGTTGGGACAAAATATGCTAAAATTAATAGAACTAAGAAATAATCTGAACTAAAACAAATAAAAGTAAGTGTACCGCAAGGTACTTGGTCCAGTGTTATATTTACTCTATAATGTCATGATTCGCCTTTAGACGTGTAATACCAAATAAAGGTGCCATAATTCCGTCCTTAGCGTTGGTATCAAAAAGTTATTCGAAAAGGCCTTAGAGATGTGACTCCGATAGTAATGAAATATGCTTTTAAAAATATGTTTTTGTTTTTGGAATGGGGATTTATGAAGGATTTTCAGAGAGGTTTTTGAATTGTTAGAGGGGTTGAAAAATTGTAAAGATATGGATTTTTAATGAAATAAGGATTATTAAAATATAAAGGACGAGTGCAATTTAAAAAAGTTAACAAGGAGTTAAACATAAAAGGCAGAAAAGGAGTATTTAAAAAGGAGTCAGTGAGAGGGACCAGGTGAGCAGAGCAGAATGTAAAGGAAAATACAAAGCAGGAGTTGGACCAGGTTTAGGAGATGTGGTGAAAGAGAGGGACTAGAAGATTTTTTATTTTTTTTAGATTGCAATTATTAAGTGGTTTTATTTTTTAATTTTGTAAGGAGCCATATGAGCCAGAACCTAAAAGCTTTAGAATATTGAAATGGTTTGACTCTTCTAGTATCAAACTAGTACAAATTAGCGCCCAACGTGGGGCTTAAATTTGGCGGAAGTCTGACAGCAAGGATTGGTAAGAGATTTTTTCTTGTTACTGTATTACACTGATCCTTGTGCGTAAGTGTGGTGTGTTTGGTGTGAAATTGGGGAAATTTTGAGAGAGTGGGGATATGTTTAGGTAGTATTAGTAGTAGTAGTAGTAACAAATAAAATAGAATAATCATAAATGAAGTAAATATATGATATTAAGAACTGGTATGAAAATGGAAAACACAGAAGAGATAGGTCAAGGGGAAGAGATGCAGATTCAAGTAGAAGTTCGGAATGGAGGAAGGAAAGACAAATGAGTTTAAGAAAGAAATTGACATTTTTCAGATATTAATGATAAGAAAGGAAGAAGATAAACGAGAAATAAGAGTAAATGGATGAGATGGCCAAGAAGTTAGATGATAATTCAAAGAAGTTAAATGAGAATGCGAAGAAGTTAGAAGAGAATGCATAGAAGCTAGATGAGACTGGAGAGAAGATGGATAAAATAAAGGAAGAATTAGAAACTTAAAATAACTTTGAAGATAAATAAGAGGAAACTAAAAAAGTAGAAATAAATGAAGAAGAAATAAATACATAAGAAAAAGATATAAAGATAAAAATAGAAGATATAAAAATATAAATTAAAGAAAAAGGAGGTAATGAAGAGTTATAAATATTAAATGTAAAAAAAATATAAAAAAATATTTATTAATTAAAGGAAAATGTGAAAGAAAACATATAGGATCAAAAAGTAGAAAAAAGTAATAAAAAATAAAAATAAAACTAGGATAAAATTAAAACGCATAGGATGGAAGAAAAATTAGGATATTATGTAAGAATAAAAACGAGATAAGAATAAAATTTAAACTGGTACGAAGCAATTATAAAAGGAAAAATATAATAGGTAGAGAGGATGAATTAGAATGCTTTAACATAACTAGGAATCGGGGGTTGACTGAAATGGACAGAGTTAGAACAAAAGTAAAAGAAAAGATAAAAATTTTAAGGGGGACGAAATTTTTAAAATTTTAATTTTTTTAAGTATATACCCAAAATTGCTGGAATATGGAGCTACCATGTATTGTAGAGGTCAAAATAGGTGGTTTGAACGCACTTTAGATGTACACTATCGGCTATCGAACACCTTCAAATACCCCTTGGCATAAGTGAGTGTGAAAACTACAGAGAACCAGTATTAGATCAAGCAGGAAACGAATAATACTAGCGATGCCAGTTTATATGGCCTTGCCAACGTTTCAATGGGGTCGGGACGTCCAAACTTGCAACGCCGATATTAATCGCCTCCTGCTCTCTCCAATGCCAACTCTCTGCAGTTTTCACACGCACTTGTGCATCGCGTATTGGAAGACGTTCAGTGGCCGACACCGTATACCAAAATTATCGTTTGCCTATAAGAAAAAAAGTGAACAAACTATTGAAACACTTACTGTCGACAATAAACGATTATGATTTTTTTCTGTCAAAATCATGACGTTTGTTTTGTTTTTGTGTTCAGAGTCAACTAAATTTTTGACTACAATTAAACTTGTATTAAGAATATCGGGTATCAGTGTTTGTTTTTCTAACGTAAAAAACGGTACATTTTGCTTAAAATAATAAAGATGAAATAAATGATTCTGAAACATATTTGGACCCATGGTTTACAGATCTGGGACTGCGCCAGATCAATCAACATAGCACCCATTCAAAAATTCCAAAACAAAATACTTCAAAACATCGTGGACGCTCCATTTTATATACGAAACACAGGCCAGGGACCTCAACATGGTCCTTGTTAAAGAAAAAATTAACAGATTTGCTCAAAAATACGAAGAATACTGAAGAGGACAGAACCTTCGGACCTGGTGTGATAATTAAGTGAAAGTGTTTTAAGCATTGTTTTTAAATAGATTAGCTTAAAACAAAATTGCTGATTGGTCGCTCTCAACTAGGTGTAATATTGCAAAAATACAAAATAAAATATGTTTACCACGTAAATGAAGACATCCAATAGAGCAGCTACATCTTTCACGTACGCCTTTGGTGTGAAGAAGAGACCATCTGCTAGTATTTTAAGAGCCAGTTCGATGCTCATGAATATCACGAATCCGTATTCTGCTATTTGCAAACTAACGTTTTCCATAACTCGATAAGACGGTGTTTCGAACATCATAGAGAGGCACGACAATGTTGTCATGGTTATCATCACCCAATCGAGGTAAGTTACTAAACCAAGAAAATTGCTGAAATCAAAACAACATTATTACTAGGTTGCAAGTTTAACCAAATTCTATTTTTATAAGTCAACCTTCCTTCTTTGATATAAACTTTCAATAATAATGTATATATTGATTTCAAAACAAAAAAAATGTTTATTTTTGTTTTCTTTTTGCAACTGGTGACACAATGAATTTTTCGTAACCAGTTTTATAATGTTCAACAGTATGCAACTGGTTGCGTAAAGTAGATCATTTTGACACTTGCTGCAATTACAAAAAATGTCACTTTACATGTCAAAATTATAAAAAAAATAGTTTTATGAGCAAGCATATTTCAGTAACCGTAGATTTAAAAATTATTGTATTTTTGAGCCCGGACGCTAAAACTAGTAGTTTGAATTCTAATTTTAGGGGCTAAATAAGTGCCATTTTAACTATTTTGGGATCAACAATTTATAATCTTCAGTATAAAATTGTATCCCTTCAACTTAGCTCAACCCTAGGTGCAAGAGAACCTTGCCTCAATAGGCGGTGTAATAAATTTTTTTAATTTTTAATAAGAAAAAATCTGAAGAGGTCTATTAGGGATGGGCCAAATAATCGATTATTTTTTTTTGAAAAACCGATTAGTCGACAATTTTTTTCTTTGAAAAATCGATAATAGACTACCTAATCGAATATTTTCGATTAAACGATTATTTAGATTATTCAATTATTGCGATTAATTATTTTAAATAATCGATTATATATTTTGATAATCGCCCAGCCCTAGTCAATATTATTTGAGAGACTCACCTGGTGGCTACCTATCTGGGTTTTGGTGTTCTTGGGAGCCCCACAGATTTTGCTGGCGAAGAATACAACAAATAATAAACTCTTTTGATCAAAAACATTAATGGTCACTAGCATAAAATAATAAAACACGCGTATATACCTATCACCCAGGGAGTATAAGTAATAAATCGTTTAACGCCTTTTCTGTAAAAATGTTTGCTTACTGTAATGTTTTGTACTGAACCTTCCTCTCTTTGCCCGTTAAAGGATCCTTTAATCTCGCATCGTATCGAGCATAAACGATCATTTGACAAAATTTTCGAAACCTGCTTTCTCTAGGGACGGCAAAAAGTGGCGTATCAAAAAACGGATGGTTTTCCCTCAAATCTTCTTCTCTCTGGTTCCTAAATAAAAATGGATATTTTTAAAATTATACAACATTGGAAGAAGGTTTTCTTTTGTAAAAAATATACCTTCTCATTTCAGCTTGCTGTCTTTTAGCCTGCAGCAATTTAATATCTAAGTCATGTGGTCTGGCTCTGTTCGATGTGACCCTGTTTACTCCGATATCACCATTTTCCATCAGATGTTCGTAAGTCTGCTTTAATTTTATGGAACCGCTGCGGACACTTCTTCTTATAGATCTTGAACCGAATCTGTTGAAAATGGAATTTTATTTGAATTTATTTTCACAGTTGTGCTTTCTGCTAAAGTAAAGAAATTAGTTTGTTAAAGACTTGTTATACAAACTTTTGGTTGATTTGCACTTTTGCAACATTAATAAACTTTTTGTTTCTACCGCAAAGAAACTTTAAATTATCAGATGTATGATAGTTTGTCAAAGTGCATCTCAACCAAAACCTTATTCCTTCGCAGCACTTTGGTTTTAGAAACAACAGAAAAACCCATATCATTCCTTGACGTGGCGTAAGTATTTGACAAGGTTTCGCACGCTGGCCTGATATAGAAACTTCTCAAAATGCCCGTGGTTAATATTTCAACAATCTTCTATTATATTTAACGGAAAAAATGTTTAGAGTGAAGCAAGCGGAGGCATACTTCAAAATAAAAGAAATAAAAGCTTGTGTCCCACAGGGTAGTGTACTACGACCGGTTCTTTACTTATCCCACAACAAAAATGTGTTAAAATAGCAACATTTTCGGGTAATATTGGCAGTTGAACATACTTATTTAATGCAGTCTAGAGCTATAAAAATATCTAATTCTATATACAAAGTCAACTTGTAAACTACGATAACGCACTGAAATGTTTAATTAATATACAGGGTTATTCAAAATGGACGAAACACCCGAGTTCTAGCGTTATTGGATAAATAACAAAAAACTGGCAGGTTGATTTTGTTTTTAAGATGCGTATTTTTTAATCGAGTTATTTAGGAGAAAAATTTAAATTCTGAATGAATTAAAACCGGTCTACAAAACCGCACCCGAAAGGTATGTTCCAACAATGATCAAAAACCAGTCACTGACACCAGGATTCTGCGTAGTATATAATTTGGCGGTCAAAATAATCAACTGCGCAGAATCCTAGTATCACTAACCAGTTTCTGATCGGTGTTGGAACAAACCTAAAATTAATGAAAATAAGAAAAAATATCTTTTGATTATGTTGACGAATCATCATATTTCTTATTATTCTCATCGTTTTATAATGATTTTTATCCAATTTTGACACATTAAAATGACTTTATCAATTCCATAACAACAATAACAAATAAAGTTTTATTCACTAGCAACTAAAAGAGTGAGTTAAAATTTTTTTTAAGTCACTAGTGACTTAAAAAACTTTTAAGTCACTATTAGTTAACCTAATAATGTACCTATATTACTGTCGACAGCCAAATGTGGAAGTCGCTATTTAGGTATCGATATTAGCACTCTTTAGGCATGTGTGCATATATTATGTAAAGCCAATATAATAAACAATGGAATCAGTCTAAAAGTTTTATTATAAAAATCAACTTGTAACAATAATTATGGAAACAATGAAAACAATAATACTTAATGGAAACTACAATGGAAACTACAATGGAAACTACAATGGAAACTATCTTTGCATAATTATTTTTTATAATCAAAATAAAAGTTATTGTTATTTAAATTATTAAACTGGAGCTTAATTTCGTTGTTTAATGGAATAGTTAGTTGTTCTGAAACATTAGAAACTACGTTTGAATGGATGGGTCCATTCTTAGAATCGATGTTTGTACCGATGGCGATGGGTTCATTGTTTAAATTGGAAATTTGTAATGTATTCTCCGATATATTATATTTATTATTGGCTACTGTCCCAGCTTTTTCAGGTGCACCTACTGCAACTTCATTACCCAATATTTTTCTTGAAATTTCTATTTTATTTCTTATTCGCTCCGTGCGCGACAGCAGCACCAATTTGTTTTGGTATTAAAGGACTATTTCTGCCTATACTGGTAAATACAATTTTTAATAGAATTCGTAAATAAAAAGTATATATGTTAGTTTTAATAAAAGTATATGGATTTGTAAAACAAGTAAAACATTAATTTATTGTTATTATATATTTTTCCCGCTTAAATTAAAGAAAATTATGTATAATCAATAAAAATCAATAATAAAATATAGGCAGGCAACATTATTTACAGGAAAATTTATGAGAAGTTGCCTAAGTCTAATAAGTTGTCATTGAAGAATTAGTAAATTCTGTCAAAATAAAAAAATACCATTTAATAATAGCGTGAAGTTAAAATGTATAAAAAAGGATCGTTATTTATATTTTCATTTTTGTTCGAAAGAAAACATACAATGCATGATTAAAACTGGTTTCCCATCAGTAAGTCACAAAATTGCATTCCAGCCACATATTATAATCAAAGGCAGAAATCTTGAAATCTAGTCCTTGCTTAATGAACATTTAAGAATAAAGGGATATTAAAGAACATCGTAAAATGATAATTTATTGTTTATTTAAAACCTTTCAAGTTTCTGATCTCTACTATTTCCAGCATTACTGTTATTATCACAAAAATAAAGGTTATTTTTCTTCTTATTGTACACCTATCCATTTATTTCTTTGATTTAATTTCCACTTTGCTAGTGAAATTTTTTATATAAGTTTTTTTTTTTTGATAGTATTTGTACAATTTTCAACACAGCAACTCCGGTTGCTTATTGTGTTGTTTTTACCTACTTATTTAAAAAAAAAGTAAAATATATACGTGTATTTGATATGCCAAAATTACAAAATATCGCTCTAAAATGCACGAATTATCCGCAGCTAGCGCTAGTATCGCTTTTGCTTCCCTTTCCATGACTTCGCACGGAGCGAATAGACTGTTCAACATATCCTTCTGCAACTGAGTCAGAACGCCATCCTCCATGTCTTTTTAATATCGATAAATCGGCGCCTGCTTCCGCCAGCAAAGAGGCAGAGGATCGTCTAAAACTATGTCCAGTATAGTCTCCCGCATTTTCTAAGCCAAGAAACTCTGCTATCTTCTGAGGCATTTTGGAAAATGTGTTGAAACCTACAGGCTGTACCGTGCATTTTTCATTTTTATAGTTTAGGAATAGTCGTGTATGTGGTACATTTTGCGGGCGCAATTTCTTATATTTCTGAAATACATCAATTGAATTGATATTATTGCTTCCATTGACAACAGTGAATATTCTTTCTTTGTAAGTTTTAGTGTCGGGAATTTTCACCACTAATACACTTCCTCTGTAGTCAACATTATTAGTAGACATCGCTACCAGTTCGCAAATTCTGCAGCCTCCTGAAACTCCCATTATCAAAGCTACTTTAAGCAGTAAATACTTGTCATCAGGAGCAGTATCTAAAATTTTTTCGACGTCTTCTCTGCTAAATACATTTGATTTCTTTGGTCTATATCCCACTGATTGGTTCTTTAAAAATGCTTTCACTTGGTGAAATCTGAAAAAGTAACCTTTTATTAACTCAAACGTCTATTTTTTAATATAATTTAAAAACCTACTTGCTTATGTCCACATTTTGTTTAACGGACAACATCTTCTTAAGTTGCGAATAATAGGACCATAATGACGAAGACTTCACATTTTTTGATTTTTCAGATATGTATGCCATTATTATCTTCTCGTTAACTCCTTTAACCTGCTTTTTGTTTCGCCATTGGCAAAAAAGCATATACTCCTTCTCGTACAATGATTTAGATTTATTGGGTACTATTTTTGCTAAAGCCTCATTTGCTGCATTTAACACTTCTTCTGGAACACGTTCTTCGTTCACAAAATCTAAGATATCCATTTTTCCAAAATTTTAAACGAAAATTAACTCTTTTGCCGATGTTTTATATCGTAGATTTTAGTCAATTCAACTAACTATAAACAAAGTCTAAATAAACAAGCCCTGACAACGCCTAACAACCATAAATTGCATCGACTACTTGTCAATTACATTGCCATAAATGGTTTTTAAATACAAAATTAAATTTAAAAAAACACCTATATTTTGATCTAAAAATGTCAAAATTGGATAAAATATTGTATACGCCTCGTGAGTTAATTAATTTTTATTCGCTCGGAAGAAATTAAGATCGCTCGAATAGCGGCTTGCGATCTAATTTCTTCTCGCGAATAAAAATTCATTTAACTCACTTGGTGTATAAATATCTAGTAAATGCAGTCAATAAAAGTTTCTCTTTCCTATTTTTTGATTCATTTTTAATAAAGTGTATTTATTATTATTATAAAAAAGATGTCGATACATATTAAAAAATAGTCATAACTCATATAGAATTTTTATTTTACAGGAAAATATAAATATTACTGTTCTATATAGACTAAATGTTCATAACGATGTTATATTAAATATTTTAAGTATACAAATCCAACAACGATACTAATCTTCAAAAAAATCAGATGTAATGCCGGACATTATCTTTAAACGGTTTTTTCTCGAGACTATATTTTTTGAGTTGTGACGCTTTTTAGCAGATGTGTGCATAGTCGGATCTTTCTTTTTACAACAATAATAGAAAATGATCATAATCTTTCTGAAAATTTGCTTGTATTTTTGTGGGGTTATTTGAAAACAAAAATTTGTGCTAGAACAGAAGTAAAAGTTGGAAAGGCTTTTGCCAGTTCTCCCACTTTATACACATAAATTGACAGGTTTGCTGCGGATCTCTTCGAAGTGGACATGATACATTGGCGTACAAAATTATTTTATAGATGTTAATAACAATTTCGAGTAAATAGTTTAATAAATTGTGAATAGCTGTTGAAATTTTGTAAAATTATGATTTTAATATTATAATACATGTTTAATAATTATTTGTAGTCCATAAATACATGCGATTGTCCGATTCCGCCGATAACAATTTAAAATTACTTATTCTATGAAACGACACTTGCAGGTAAACATTACTGCGAAATTCTCGAAGCCGTCCGACGTGGTTTGACGTTTACCCCTCTCTACCTACCAAAAGCCTTTCCAACTTTTACTTTCCCTATACCCAACCAGAACCTTTAGAAGATTTATGACAAAGGATAGAGTATGAATGCCAAAATTTAAATGCAGACGTGTTCGGTAAAGTCAGAGAGGCTAGAAAAAACTGTTGTATGGAAGAAAATGGTAGTCATTTTGAACAATTTTTATAATAAATTTTGAAAATAAAATATTTGAATTTATAGTATGAAAATATAACCCCCTACCTCTCTTGCATTCCCTCTGAAATATGAGCACTTCCTGAAAAATATTAAATTAGAAAGAGGGTCTTGTGGCACCTTGTTGAAAGGGATTTTAATTCTCTTTTCAGAAATATATTGTTTTTTAAATTTGGTGCAATCGTAACTGAGAAAATTAATTTTGAAGATGTAAAATTTTGATAATGTCTCCATTACAAAACTTTATGTACAATGAAGCAACGAATTAATTGTAAAATAAATTGAAAAATATATTCTAAATACGATATGGAATATTCTTTGGTATATTCTACATAAAGTTTTGTTCTAGAGACATTATCAAAATTTTACATTTTTAAAATTTATTTTTTCAGTTATACGAAATTAAAAAATCTCTATAATGCTGAAGAGAGAATTACAATTCTTTTTAAACAAGTTATCACACGATACCTCCTTTTTTATTTAAAATTTTTAATAAGGTGCTCATAATTCAGGGGGTGCAAGAAGGGGTAATATTTTCATACTCTAAATTGCTAAATAAAGAATAGAAACCGATATGTTTTAGGTTTTTTACCCAAAATTACATAATATCGCTAAAAATTAATTTATTCTATAAATATACATACTGTACAGTATACAGTGGCGGCTTGTGACCAAAATTTTGGGAGTTCACAATGACAGAATATAGATCTCATTATAGATTTAGGTAAAAAACTTTAAATAATTTAGAATGGTATATTATAAAAAAGATTTTTACTTCAATCTGTACTATCTATATTCGGTTTGTGAACCCCCAATATTTTGGTCACGAGCCGCCTTTGCTGTATACAATTATTTTGTTAGCGATTAGAATACTGCAATGTGTCGTCGATAGTAAGATATTTGATAATTAACGATTCTGTCGGAGCACAAACGAAGATTAAAGGTTTTTTATGGATTTTAGGTGTATCAAAAATATCCAAAGTTTCTTTGGTCTCTCCTACCAATTAAAAGAGCACATTTTTTTGCGTAGACAAATTTTGTGGTACAGGTTTTTTGTATTCATTTATATTGTTACGAATTCAAAATAACTTGAATTTTTTATTAGTTTTTTTTTTTAAATATTTTTATGTAGGTAACATATCACGAAACTTAGCATCCATACGCTAAAAAATGTGCAATTTACATTGACATGTTCCATCACCTTACAAAAACTCATGATTAGAATAGCGTTGGCATTTTAAAAACTCATGATTACGGCATAACCCGAATAATGATGGCGCTATAAATAATATAAGTGTACACCAAATATATGCACCTACTAAAAAAAAATCGACCTGTTTACTTTTTTTTAATACTTGCCCAATAATATCAAAAATCGGGTGATCCGCCCATTTTGCTCAACACTTTATTAAACATAACGACATGGGCTTCCGGAGGGGGCTTTTCGTTAAATCATTATGTTTTAAGTAACGTTTAAAGTAATAACGTCAAATAATTTGAAAAAGTTTTAATTGGCCCCTTTGAATTTGTTCCTGCGGACGCCCATGGATAAAGATGCAAATACGACTCCTGATGTCCTGGATCAGCATCGATTCACAGGATTCTATAAAAAATAAATTAACCATGCCAAAACGTGCAATAATTTCTTTCCATCTACTCAGTATGTGTCATAGAACCATTTGTAATTTATTGACTTTTGTATTTACATAGTAGGTAAGTGTTTAAACTATAATTTAATCAAAAATTTTGCATGCCAATTGTACTTGTTTTAAAAATTTGGTTGCCAATTGGTTTGTGGAACTCACTTCTTATGATCAATACGTAACTGTTTCATGCTGTTAATTGTTCCTTGCGGTTTTAATGGACCCTTAGTACCCGGTACCGGAATCAAAGACGAATCGCCTAGCATCAATCGTTGGTTGTTCGAATCACTAAAAAAAAAAAAAAAGATACAATCATTAAATTATTGATGTAACAATGTAGTTTTCTAATAAGTGGGTCAAAAATATAATGTTTTGTAAAACTCGAGAAAAAGTAGAAGTTCCTAAAATAGCCCTTTTTAATTTATTTCTACACTATTAAAACTGTTCAGCCCTTTATTTATCATATAATTTTGATGCATCCTTTTCTATCTTGCTCCTAAACATGTCCAAAAGATAAAACGTAGCTACATTTTCGCATAGAATTTAGTTTGAACCAATCACAAAGCAAACTCCGCTCTGTTGAGAAAGTAACATAATGTCTTCTTCGAGTTAGTACTTAAAAATATTAGGTAAACAGTGTAATCAAGTCGTATTTTATATATAAACTTTAAGTGTTTTAATGAAGCTGTGAGGTACTCATCAATTAATTTGTATTACCTACCTGTCCTTGTGAAGTTAGATAACAAGTTAAGGGATTCATACACCACATACATAAATACATCTATAATATCTACTATTTTTTAAAGGCTCTATATATTGTAGAAAAAAAGGTAAACAAACTCAACTCACTTGACGATTTGAGCCACAGCGGTTTTTTTCAGTTTTAAATTGACCACTCGTACCTTCGTCAAATTGTTTAAAATTTTCAGCGGCTTCTGCTTCCTGTAAATTACTTTGGTGTCAAAAACTTCCTCGCACAATTTTTTAATACCCCCTTCTGAATTTTCGTCGTCTTCCGTTTCATAAACAAATTGTCTCATGAAGCTTTCTCTAACCTAAAAACCGATTTTTGGTTGTTTAAAAACTTAAATTTCTTTCTTTGGATCTTATTTATAACACCAGAAAATGTCAATAAAATAAATAATAAAGCGTTTTCGGTATTAAGCCATCTTCAGTGCTTATCTACAATACGTATTACAATAAGTACGTACTGCAATAAGTATGTACTACAATAAGTATGTACTACGATAAGTATGTACCACAATAAGTATGTACTACAATAAGTAAATACTAAAATGAGTATGTACTATAATAAGTAAGTTCTACAATAAGTGAGTATTACAATAAGTATGTACAAATATAAAATGATTTGAAGAATACAAGTTTTTTTAAAAAAGGAACAGCAACTTTTTACAAGTTACAATTAAAATTACAATCAAAAGAAAACTTGTGCTAACGCACTGATCTGGACAGCATCCCTTCGCAATCCTAGTGGGGAACCTTCAAGCTGAGTTTGTACGAGAGAAGGAATGCTGACTCTACACAAGCTTAGATAATTACAGAATTTCAGTATACCTACTTGGTGTAAGGTATATAGAGTAAATAATAAAGGGCAAAAGATACTACCTTGGAGTACACCAGATGTAGACGATATATTGTCGATTTGAATAAATTGTTTTCGCTGATAAATTATGACTTCAAAAGAGATGTAGATGTGAGTATTATTAAATCTAAATAACTTCAACATTGCAAGTAAAATTTTATGATTTATCGGAAGGTTTCTAAAAATCCAATAGATATAAATCTTGTCATTAATATTGCCTTTTTGTATTATATTATTCATAAAAATAGCTATGGCTGTAGCATATATATGTAATGTATAGTGGTAATCTTTGCTATTATGTCTCATTTGAATTCTTATGATTCTAATATTTTAGTTTAGAGAAAACAGGTAAAAAATAATAATTCTAGTGTTTAAGACTACTGCTGGTGGTGCTGGAATTATAGAGATACATAACAATTAAAACAAGTTTTAATACTTAGAATCTATTTTAGAGAGGTAAAGCATTGATCTAACAGAAACTGTTTGGATTATCAAATCTTGATGATAACGGACAGCAAAATGAAAACTATTTCCTCAATGTAATTTTGAACTGAGAGCTAACCTAGATTGACATTTGAAAACACCTATTATACATAATAATTAATTATACCTTTGGTAGGTTAAAATCGGACGGTACTTTATGTAGAGTTACCATTAGCGGGCTATCTGGGAATTTTTCAAAAATTCTTAACCGAAAGGGTAACGTTTCTTTGATTTCTGCGCTTTGTTCCCTATATTTAAGTTGTTTCAATTTTTTGATGTCTTCATCGAGTTCCAGATTATCCAAAATTACGGCTACGAACAAACTCAACACAATCTAAAAAATAAAAACGTTTAGGTGTCTTAAATAAAAAAAAAACAATTCTCCTTTTTATCAGAAATTTGATATTGTTCTTTGTAGTATAAGATATATGGATTGATCCACATAAAATATTTCTAAAATAGGCCTTGGAAAAATTCACGCATGTTGGAGCGTACAATTCTTCTTATTTTTATGGGTCGGTATTTTCACCTTCAGCTTCAGTGTCAGGTAAATAATTGTTATCTTTCAGATAACTTAAAATGTCATGTTTTCATTTCTAGGTAAAACCAACCGTAAGATAAATTGGTCTAATCTGAAATATAACTAATATTAGGTACTGATAAAGTACTTAAGTGATGGATAAATAGGTACCTATATAAAGGACCGTTCTTAGCCTCACTGTCGCCTTTGTGCAGGCGTAAAAATGCCGCCCCTATCCAAATTTTTAAACAAACATATTTATGAAATAGGTACATAATATTTAACAAGTGAAATCGTTAAATCAGAATATAACCCTTAGCGCCGGTCTTTTCACCTTCAGATAAAGTGTCAGGTAATTGTTATCTCCCAGATAACTTATAAAGTCATCTTTTCACTTTTGGATAAAGGTAGTAACAGGCAGATAAATTGGTCTAATCTGAAATATAATGTGATGTTTGTTTACTTTAAAACAACAGTTTATTTATTAATAATTTATTTAAACACTAATTTATTTTGTAACACAACTATTCTAATTTATATATACTTCGAATGTCTTTAAACTGATCACTATTTATATTCACCACTGTTTATCTACTAATTACTATTTATCTTCACTGTCCATATAATAACTGACTGCCTCTTGGTTCCACCAATATTTATATACAAATTTAAAAGTTTGGCGAATGAGCTAGAAAGTTCACCAAATTTTCTAGAAACATTATCGCGTCTTTTCTCGAACATTAATCGAAAACTCTTCCGCCATAGTCGTCATATAGGTTTAGTCTTAGGGGTTTAATTATTTATGATAATCGGACAAGTTGAGCCTCAAAGGCCAAATAATACAGAGAGGGACTTTGAGTATTAGAGCATGACTGAATAATGAAATGGCTCATATTACATTGCCCCCTCCTTAAGAGATAGTTCCTCTTGGAACTCTTACGAAACTAAATGGAATGGTTGTATCTGCAACTGAACCCTCTTTTACAATTTCCAGTTGCATGGAAGTAACAAGGGACTGTCTTCGCTGTAACCTGGGCACTGGGCGAATGGCTGCAGACCAGTATTTAAACTCCGGTATCTTGAAAGATTACTTCCACCATGTTCCTAATGATTTTCCAATCCAGCTGATTTCCTTCTATCTTTGGCATGGCTAGTTTTTGTACATTAGACTCCCGTACGTGCTCCCTAACCTAAGACTAAGTAATGCTTCCCATACATCCTGATAGGTGGATTGATCTTGGAAGGTGTTCTTCGTTATTAAATAAAAAAGATACCGTGACCCGTCTTGAAGTTTCAAGGCTTTTCCAGGAGCTGGTAACTGACATTGAAGTTCTAGCATTTGACCAAACTTCTTACGGAACACATATGCCAGTCCTCGCGCGTCGCTGATGCTGACGGAAGTACTATGGACCAGCGAGTAGTCTTTCGGAAGCGAGAGCAGATCTTGTTGTTGCTCGGTCGTGACACCATATCTGGCTTTTCCAGTACCTCCATATGCACCCATAAATTCTTCAAAGACAAGGTCAGGTGTTTCTCGAAGTTGATTTACTTCTTCTTCATGGTCACCCTCATATGGCGCCAACCTATTTTGATGCACTACCTTTGGTTTACCGTTTGGGATCTTACTTATACGGTAAATTACATCATTTATTTTATTCCTTATGAGGTACGGACCTTCCCAAGACCTTTGAAGCTTCGGAGAATAACCCTTTTGTCTTTTTGGGTTATGGAGCCAGACTTTGTCGCCTTCTTTAAAACATCCTTCTGTTGCTTGGGTATCGTATCGCTTCTTCATTCTGTCGCTGGCGATATGAAGATGGGAGCGACCTAATTCATGCATGTCGTCCATTCTTCTTCGTAACTGGATCACATAATCTTCACCAGCTACATCTTCTCCAGGTCGGCACCCAAACTCGAGGTCGCACGGAAGTCTCATCTCACGCCCAAACAAGACCTTTGCTGGTGTTTGGCCTGTTGATTCATTGACAGCGGATCTTTAAGCCATTGCAAAGAGCGAAAGATACGGATCCCAATCTCGATGGTTTGAAACCACTTTTGACAGATATTTGCTAATGGTCTTATTCATTCGCTCTACCATTCCATCGGATTGTGGGTGCAATGCTGTGGTTCTGGTCTTCTTCATGCCTAGTCTGTCACAGATTCTACGGAAAAGTTGACTTTCAAAATTTCTGCCTTGGTCACTGTGGATCTCCAAGGGCACTCCAAATCGACAGATAAACTCTTTTATCAATACATCTGCAACAGTTGCGGCCTCTTGATTTGGAATGGCATAGACTTCCACCCCATGGCACTTTATTTCACCGTCTTTGGCCGGTTCTGTATGTTCGAGTTCTTCTATCTTCTTTTCCATCTCTTTTATTTTCTCTTCAACGGAACACCTTATTTTCTCCTCAACGGAAGTCATCCTATTTTCCACATCAGCAGAAATTTCATTTTTTAGCGAAGACATATCAGAAGAAATTTCATCTTTCAAAGAAGAGATTTTGTTTTCTAAATCGGAAGAAATTTCGGTTTTTAAAGAAGATATGTCAGAAGTCACCTTTTCTTCTAAGGAAGAAATATCGGACGAAACTTTACTTTCTAAGGAAGTAATATCACTTTTTATAGAAGAAACTTCTGAAGAAACTTTATTTTCCAATGAGGAAATATTAGAAGAAATATCTGTTTTCATAGAGCTCATATCAGAAGACATTTCGCTTTTTAAGGAAGAGATCTTACTTTCCACGGAAGAAATTGAAGAAATTATTGCAGAAGATGCATCATCCGAAAATAGAAACGTTTCCGGATCCAAACCCTCACTTTCTAGTGCTTTCTTAAGACGTTCTGCCAGCTCTGCTTTCTTCCCTGTTATCTCCAGATCACGATCTTCTAGCTCTCGACGCAGCTCAGACACTTTCAAATCACACAGTCTTTTAGCCATTATTGTCCACTATTTATTTACACTATTCCACTTCTCGACACCAATGTGATGTTTGTTTACTTTAAAACAACAGTTTATTTATTAATAATTTATTTAAACACTTATTTATTTTATAACACAACTATTCTAATTTATATATACTTCGAATGTCTTTAAACTGATCACTATTTATATTCACCACTGTTTATCTACTAATTACTATTTATCTTCACTGTCCATATAATAACTGATTGCCTCTTGGTTCCACCAATATTTATATACAAATTTAAAAGTTTGGCGAATGAGCTAGAAAGTTCACCAAATTCTCTAGAAACATTATCGCGTCTTTTCTCGAACATTAATCGAAAACTCTTCCGCCATAGTCGTCACATAGGTTTGGTCTTAGGGGTTTAATTATGTATGATAATCGGACAAGTTGAGCCTCAAAGGCCAAATAATACAGAGAGGGACTTGGAGTATTAGAGCATGACTGAATAATGAAATGGCTCACATTACAATAACTTATCTTACCTCTGAACTTCCTGATAAAGTAGTTAACCGACGGAAAAGTAGGTATATGATATAATAATATGTGATATGAGTCAACATATTATTTTATTTGCTTTTATGGACGATGAAGATTTTTTTTTTTGTAAATAGTGGTTTACTTATTTGTTTCGTATAATTGTATATTTAACTCTCGAAAAAATACTTGGAAAAATAAGCGATATCGAGTGGAGCACCGGCACTCTCACTATCGCTTATATCTCCGGTATTCTTCCACCTAGCCTTCTGACGATTTGCAAGTAATTTTATTTTGAATTACAGAATAAGAATACAAATTATCAGAAGTGTACCTAGTGACATCATTGTTGCTAAATTTTTCGCAACATGAGCGCCGTCTGACGACTTTTTCTCTTCCACCTAGACTTCTGACAATTTTTTCCCTACTTTCTTATACTATCTCCGATATTACTGCAAATTTTCAGAGCTGTACCTTATCACTTATTTTGGGAAAAAATTGCATGTTTAACCCCCTACCCTTACTTTATACTTCCAGGGTGACTTCTGACTGACCGCCTCTCGCTATATTGGTAACAATCGAAACTGTACTTTACCGAGTCACCCCTACTTTTGTGTCGCCAGCTCTTAGACTAATAGGCAAGTACTATCGTCCTAAATTTTATTAGTAGTGGGTAACTATATTAAATTAAATTTTTCAATGTTTGTAAAATAATTTTTAAAACAAAAAAGTTTTGATTTGATTTTTGAACTTCGGAAAAACCAACGAGCAGTAAAAAAATAATGACACAAATTTTAATGGAAAATATAGTCTGTGCAGTTTCTGCTGAAATTAAAAATTTGTAGAATAAAATTTAGAGCTAAAAAAGCAATAGGTGATTTGTATTAGACAGTTCTTACATACATGATTTGTAAAATAAAAAATATTTTTTTAGTATATCTAAAAATGAGGTCGAGTATGATGTTAGGGATGAACAGGCGGAAAATTCATGCACCTAAAAAATACTAATAGGTTCTTTTCTACCGAGTAACAAGCTTTTGCTCAAAATTTTGAATTTGTGTGACATAAATTTGCAAATTTTATTCACCTGGGAATAAATTTGTCTTTTGTCCTGTAAAAGATTTAAAAAATCCAAACGCTTTATTGAAAATACGCTCGTGTAGGGCAATTCGTAGCTGTCATTTTCGTTAACGAAAACAAACCTATGAAATGACTACAGAACGTTAAAAAAAACCAGATAACTCTCTACAGATTATATTTCTCTAGAAAAGACGTATACTTAATTATCTGTTAGTTAGGTACTCTCGGCTAATATATCCGTTAGTTAGGTATCTGTTATCTGGAACTTTAGCTGAACGTAAAAAGACCGTCCAGTGTCAGTTTATATTTAATTCAGAGTCGTGCATAGTTATCACGGACATGGCTCATATCTCTGTCTTTGTCAGTCATGCGCTACTTTAGAAACATTTTTTGTGGATTTCTCTTTAGAACGACATACAAAAATAATGACTTACAAGCGTGACAAACAAATGGTATAAAATAAAATACAGAGCAACCAGCGGTGCCAACATAGATCTCGTTCTCAGCATAGTTTCATCCATGACCTCCACCCAAGCTTCTTGCGTTAGAATTTGGAACATAGACATAAACGCTTCAACAAAAGTCTCGAATTTGGCGAAATCCAAAAAACAAAACAACTGCATAGAAATGCTCGATGAAATAATCAGCAAGCACATGGTGAAAATGATCAGACTTCCCAATTTTTTGCCGGGTCCAAAGATTTTATACACGAAGTCTTCCAATAGCGGCGAAGCTTTGATCAACCTTACAACTCGAAGTACTTGGAAGTAGGTAAAACCCGTCATATAAAATCCCGGTATGACGTGTATTGTGGTACCGATGGCCAGCAGCAACTCGAATTTATGAATGCTGTGCTTCCAATAACCCCTCCAACCTAGGCACCATATTTTAAAAATGGTTTCCAAGTTGAGCAAAGCCGTAAAACCAAGTTCGATGTAATAATATTTTTCGTAAAAAACTTGTCGTGGTCGCTCGTCGTGCTTGAAATGCATTGTTGCCGTTACTATTCCGTTTGCCAGTATTACGCACATTACTATTAGACGAAAATGCGGGGATCTTAATATTTTGTGGCAGAAATCTGGAGCTAAACCTCCATGTTTGTTTTCATCGAGAGTTACAAGTCTCCATCCTCTATCGTCGCCCATCAAAATCTACAAAAAGATATATAGATATAAAAGAATCGTTTAATTTGATGGTGAATAGTAATTTGTCTTTCCTTATGCTCATGGCCCCACAATAGATGATTTCATCGGAAGACATATTTCCATTCTAAGGTCATTTTTGTTTACATAGCTAGTAATAGAAGCAGGATTTTATTTAAAAGGAAACTGTAAATTATCATTTCGACTATCTGAGGTCTACCTGGTTTGACAAGAAGCACGAGTTAGGGCTATTATGGCTGATTTTGGTAAAATAAACACCTTTTTAAAACCGAAACAGCACTGGGTAGATAGTGAAAAACTGAGCCCATACAACTACAGAAGAAGACAATAAAAAAAGAAGAAATTTATGCTGATGCTGTAACCTTGGAAAGATTGCCAAAAGGACAAATTTGCAGTTTCCCTTGAAATAATATCTATTACTTTCTATGTAAACCAATAGATCGCGAAAGTTCTTGCAATGCCCTTGCAACGGCAATATGTCTTCGAATGAAAACATCTATTCATTTTTTCCCATACAGCACACATTATTACAGAAGAGTTTCAGAAATATTTCAAACGTTTCAAACATATAACATTTCAAGCACACACGTTTCTGAAATATTTCTAAAATATAGTTAAATATTTCACTGGAAATGTTTCTGAAACATGTCATAAATGTTACATAAAAGATTACGAAACGGGTTATATTGTAAAAGGCCAAGATTTAATGAAAAATTTGTAAGAAGAAGATAGAGGTTATGTAGTAGTCATTTTATTTCAGAGATATTCTAAATAATTCTAAGCTGTTTCTGCCATTTACTTTTTCTTTGTGAGTTGTGCTGTTATATGTGAATCAGAATCTTTAGAAATTTATGAAACTTTTCTACAGAAATATAAGGCTGGTAAATAGATTAGATTAGAATAATTTACTCTGTGATGAGTGACGCCATTTCGTTTATCAAATTTGCAGGCAGTATTAGGGCCAATATTTTAGGTCCAAACTTTTCACCTCTGAGTAAAGTTGTTACTTTCAACTTCACTCAGAGGTAAAAAGTAAAAAGACTGACCCTTAGTGTAATTTTTATCTAAATATATCCTACATTTGTTATCCTTCCCCTAATATTATTTATTAGTTCTACAGCTCTGATTGAAAAGCAAGATGAGCTTTCTGTTCATGTTTTGTTTAGGCATGATTATTTTCTCTAATTTGTAGTTCATTTAATGCAATATTCATTAAACTACTGTTAATTAAATAAATTTTTTCTCAAATCTTTTTTTTAAGTATCTATAATTTGTTTCAGGTTAGTGCATTTATGGAAATGAAGCGATTCGCCTTTATATTTAATGATATAATGTTTAAAAATTATTTATTATTTGTTTAAAAAACAGTGTTTCTGTTTTGTATATTTTAAATAAACATGTATATTTTTAAATGTATTTTTTAGTATAATAAAATATTACAGTGTAATATTGCATTCATTTCGCATTGATATTCGAGAAATATTTTAGAAACGTTTCATAATATTTATGGAACATTTCTGAAATATTATTATGTAATATTCCTGAAAGATGCCTTACTTTTATTTTAGAAATATTACTGTGAAATATTAAATTTACAGGACAATTTTACATTTCAAGCATCTTCCAAAAATGTATCTTGGACGTTTCGTAATATTTATGCAACATTACAAATATTTCAATGTGTAATATTTTTGAAATATTTCCGAAATGTGTTTGTTCTGTATGTGCTAAAGTTGTTAAATGGTTACAAAACAACTGCATATTGTGTTCCTTTGTCAGGTTTTCAAAAAGTTCGCGAATCTACTGAAAGGTCTTTCAACTGGAAACATGTTATTGGAGTCGTACAAAAAAGTCTAACACAGGTTCAAAAAATTTGCTTGAAAGTTTTTCTCTTATATAAAATTGAGAGGCTTCATCGGTTCCTTTTCTAATTGGAAGACTGTAGTATAGACGTTCTTCATGTGTAGAATATATTCAACTAACCTGTCTAAAGGATACTTTGAGACAAGATTGGTGGTTTTAACTTTTAGTTCAATCCATGAAAACCAAAATTGTTGAATCACAAAAAATTTGTTTACAGCTCGCAAATATCGGTTTTAAATTTGTCATGACAAAATCCTGAACAGGACAGACAGTAGACGATTTGAATTAAGTTGATGCTGACAACTTTACATAGGCATTTGGTTTCCTTTCATTAACAAATGCCAACTGTTTCGAGTGCCTCGGAAACAACTTTTGCTTCAAAATGGTTTCCCATAAATCTCGTAGGATCTACATCTCATTAAGAAAGTCTTTAATTAGTTGCATTTATACGTTGAGGTAGACAGAGATGCAGAGTACAAATATTCAAAATAGTTTTTTCTAATTTGTACTAAATTATAATAATTTAAAAAAATGTACTGCGTAGGGGTCTAGTGTCAGTCCCAGCCTTGTGGGGGCCATGCTCAACCTCCTGTACAATGAATCACCAGATATTATCGCGTTAGTCAACTCTTAGTATTTTTTGATGAAACTTTTTTTAGCAGACATCTTTGTCGCCAAGCTATCTTCATTTCGTTTTAATTAGTTAATTAATACAGAGTGGGCCACTAAAAACAGTCTATGCTGGTTAATTGGCAGTATTTATACGCTAATTTAGTGACGATTGTAATTTTGGTTCCACTGACAATTAAAGTGACAGAAGACTTTATGAGTGCGTTTTGTTCATTTTGTTTACCTAAATTATATCTTCCTTTTATGTTTTATAAATTCCTAAAGTCAAATATACAATTATTTAGTTAAAACGAGAAAAACCAAACATGTAGATTTTCACACACTTTTATTTAAAAAAATTAAAATTAAAAATTACAGACAATTGTTTCGAAGTACAACTCCTTCTTTTAAATAAAAGTGTGAGAGTCTACCGCGTTTTTCTCGTTTTAAATGGATTTTCATCTTTCATCAAGTAAAGGCCGAAACAATCAAGAATTAGTTACCAATTACATACCTTTAAACTATTTTTTATGGCCTGCAAACAATATTTGGAAAAAACTGAAACCTGTAAAAACGTGTGTATGTCAAATTCAATGTTTTTGTTAAAAGTTTGGTTAAAAGTAAATTGTCAGTGGAACCAAAATTGCGTCACTATAATATGGCGTATTGTTTTTTGAAAAAAAGGTAGAACAGGTCGATTTTAGTTTGATGCGGTACACTTTTTTTCTAATTGCAGCATCGGCACTTCAACTCTCGAGCAGTGGGGTGAACAACCACTACAATTTAAATAGGGAAAGTATCAAGGATGATAAATCATTGAAAAGGTAATTTGATTGAGAATTTGATTGTTTTGTTTTTATTTTAACTCCCTCTATTTTGATAAAAACTGTTACGTATTGTAAACTGTGACACTTTATTTGAAAGCTATTTTTTTTACTAATTTAATACACCACATAACTTTAATCTAAATATTTTTATATTGCACCGCAAACCGCGAACAAAATACAAAAATTTATAATCTTTTTTTTAATTATTCGTTTATTTTATAGATTAATCGAATATTTTCGATTTTTCAAAGATAATTACTATATTCAATTTTGATTAATCGATTAATTGAAAAAATCTAATGACTGATTAATCGAATTAAAAGGAACTAAAAAAATAGATTTTCTTTCAAGCTAATAAAACATTTTTTGGAAATTATTCCAATATTTTTTTGAGGAGCAATTTATAAACGAAACACTCACATTAGCTTGTTTTTAAAATACCAAAATTATGGTGTAAAATGTTAAAACATAATATATTTTGATGAACTATTTTAAATCTGTTTGGGTTTGTATTAAATGTAGTTATTATCAATATCATACTGTTTTTAAATACTACAACTATTAATCAATTTGTTGTACTCTGGTAATATCTAATCGATAACTAATCAATTAATCGATAAATAATCGGATAATAAAAAGTTATCGATTAATGGAAAATAATGGATGAATCGAAAACCCGTTTTAAGTAATCATTTTTAGCAATACAATTATTTAAATAGGAAATTTTATTTAATTGGAATTTTTTTATTCTACTAAAATGTATAAAAAAAAAATGTTCTACTAAAGTTAGCCAAAAAAGCTGAAAATCTACCAAAAAGTAGAAATCTACTAAATGTGGCCACGTGGGATCAAAGGTCAGAGTGACCAGACCAAACGCAGTTAACCGTCGTGTAGCGTTGTTTCAAGCGGGCACATTGTGTGTCATGGATCTGTTGACCTCTCCTTTTAACCACAGTCATTCGCAGAAACCTCTCGCGTTAAATCAAAATAGAAATTAACACGTACGAAAATAATAAAAATATTAAAATTGAATTTATATTTTAGTTTTTTCTTTCGTGCCATCGGCATCAACTGCTATGGTTATTAGCGTCGTGTTCTGTGTGGGCTTTGTTACTGTTTCCAAGCGCCATTTTAGAAAAGGCACTGTTAATTAAAACCCAAGAGTGATGTGATTTTAAAATAATGTGTTTTTATGAAATTTAACTGGGTGTTCACTGCACAAATGAACTAATGGAGATGTTTATTTTATACAAAATGATTACTGAGTGTTTTCTCTAAAAAGCCTACCTAGATGGTGATCAATTGTACAGGAAGATAAGAGAAGACAAATGATAATTGACTCATACCTGTGAAGCTGTAGTGTTCTGTATGTGTCCTCTTATACCCCACATTTGTTGGAATTGTACTCTTATTTCATTGAAGGTCTCCGTTATAACAGCTATGAAAACGTTTTTGACTAACCAAGCCAAGAAAAATATCATAGTGCTGAAATATAAGACAGCTCTCCATCCTGGTAATGAATCAATTGCTCTATACATAATAAATACCCATCCCTCTTGTGAAGATGCTTGGTATACAGTGAAAAAACTGGTAACTAAAAAAATACAAGATATATTAACAATCTATTTTGATACAAATCAAAATATATATAATTCAATAAAATAAGATTTCTGTTCAAGATGAATATAGTTGCTTATATATCATTGATTGCTTTTTACTTACCAAATTCATCAAACCCATTAAAACCAATAATATATCGTGAAACACCTTCCAATTTCATGCATTTCATACCTTTAGGACATTGATAACCTGAAGAAGGATCCAAGGAGCAAAAGGTATCGGGTATTGCAAGGCTATTGATCGTAATATCCCTTAAAAATAATAGTCATATACAAAATATCATATCATAAAATGGAGACCAAACTCGCAAACCATGTTCCAATATTGACCTAACATAAGCTGAGCAAACTATTTTAATGGAATTCAATAAGAGATTGTCCGAATTCCTTAAGATAAAACCTAAAGGTCTGAAAGCTTTATTTATTTCATGAGTAGCTTGAATCCGCCACTGAGTGATCAAATTAAATATTGACATGGCCTCTACCAAAAATAAATGTATAATACTTGTTCATATTAGGTCTGTTCTGGTTTTGAGAAATAACGATCCACAACTGTCGGGCTCATGCGCAGTAGATAAAAAGTGTTCTGGTTTTTCTGGAACTACTTCGGATCTCTCAGTCCAGTGTTCTGGTTTCGTATCCGAAATAATCCGTGATTGTTGTAAACAGTCAAAAAGTGTTCATGCTTGGGAGTGTGGATCGACTCGGACTGTTTTGACCGCGCATGCGTTTTTGAAGTGTTATGAATATTGCATTGGCTTTTTAGACTATACGAAACGTATACAATCCCAAATTGTTTATTTATATGTGGACGAATGTCTCTTGTTCTTGTTTTATTTGTAAATTAAAGCAATTTTAGAATTATTAATTTTTTAATATTCTGTTTTTATTTATTCCATTGAAATGTGATGATAATGATAAACATATACATGCAAATGTTATTTGAAGCTGAGCTTTCAAAAGGAACTTCATTATTATAATAAACAATAAACAAAACACCTTTATGACGTGTTCTGGTTTTCCAAGAATTTCAAACAGTCGGGGATTTTTTGCCTTTACGCATACGGTCCGGCGCAGTTTCAAAACAGTTTTCATTTTGAGAACCAGAACAAACCTATTAATTGAGATACAGACCAGACATGGCCAGTGGCGTAGCCAGAAATTTTTCATGGAAGGGGTTTTTGAGAACTATGGGGGGGTTCCATCAAGAAAGTGAATAAAAACAAAAGGTCAATAGCGATCAGAACCAACACTATAGCGGAAATGGTGACGCAAGGACCCTCCATGGGGGGGGTTCTGACCCCCAAAACCCTCTCGTGGCTACGCCACTGGTCATGGCAGTCATGTAGTGCAATAATATCACTATGTAAAAGATAACAATGATTGACACTATAACTAGGCATAATATGTTTAGATTATCCGTAAAAAAAAAAGACGATTACTATATTAGAAAATATTTTCAATATCATTGATATATAGTAAGAACAATAATGGTCCCAAATGGGAACCTTGTGGAACACCTGATCAAAGTACTTTACCTACTGTGTCTACTAGACATAACTGCCTAATCTTTAGGTATAGACAGTGGCACGAAAAATTAAAAATTTTAAGGAATAGGCAACTTTGACACGTACAAAAATGATTTTTCCTACGACCACTTAGGAAAGTTACACATATCACACTATATAGACCTATGGAAAGTGCCCTATATCACACGCGTATGAATAAGAATTTACTTTCCACCCAAGTGAGAATATGCTACTTTCCGCAGTAGCTGTCAGAAAATGTCAAACACATAATTTCTATTTTGATCTATGTAATGTCCATATTAATGCTAAAATCGATATGATTGTTAAATTATTGTAAATTAGATCCTAGATATTTATCTTTAACAATTATTTTTAAAATAATTTTAAAATAACTAAGATATATTTGCTTTTTATTCTGGTTAAACACATAAGCGATTAGATCAATCAATTACCGTAAGGCCTGTTAGCTCAGTTGGTTAGAGCATCAACTTTGCAATTTGAGACCGTCCAACGACCGCGATCGAATCCTGGCTGTGCCAGAATTTTTTTTTTATTTGTTTAGAAATTATGAAAATTTAATAAATACGATTATTGTTGATTATTTTTTTAAATACATTTTAATTATTATAATAATCTGGTTTTACATTTTTTGATGAAATTATTTTGTGGTCGTAGGAAAAATATTGTACATCACTTGTGTGAAAAGTGATTTTCCACACTCGTAATGTAATATACTATTAAATTAATATACGAAGACCGGTTGATTTGAAATTTTGTTGGTTATGCAACTCTGACACTGAAACAATCAAATATGAAATTTATTTTCATTGTGCTAAATGGGTGATTTTAAAGAATAAAGGCATAAACTGAAAATGTATTAATTAAAAAAATAGAATTCTAAAAATAGTAAAGTGGCAATTTTTTTGACTATATGAAGGTTCTGTTTGTGTTTATTTTAGGTACAATGCTCGAATTTTCAATATTTATAATTATTGTTTGCATAAATAGTTCCCAATATTCGTTTTATACTTACTTGGGCTCCGATGTATTGACTGTAACACAATGATTTTTCAATTCGCCAAAGAATTGTACTCCTAACAACCCGTAAAGTGACATAAAGAAAAGGAAAAATAGAGTTACGTTGTAAATCTGCTGACTGGACCGTCTAAAAAATTATATTTAAAAATTAGTACCTGTTGGTAAATGTACTTTGTTCATTCATATTAGGCAAGTTTACTTACTTAAATATTTGGTTGATTCGAGATTTTGGCATAGAAAACTTAAGAAAAACTCTCAAAAATCGTATCATAATCAACGGTCGCGGTGCTCGTAATATCGAAAGATAACTGAATCTTGGTACAATGCTAAGCATTTCGAAAACCTGCAAAATTACTGATATCCATAAGAAAAATACCATGCTCGCATCGAACTGACACCAATGGTCTTTTAGGTAAGGTCGGTCCCCCTAAAAAATAATTTGTAAAAGTTAAGTAGGTAAATACTGTAAAACTTTTTTATTGGTAAAGGCAGTTTATAGAATAAGGGAAGTAATAATTTACCTAGAAGCCTGCAAGGTAATGAAAAAATACCCATAGATGTATCTTTTAAAATAATCAAGGGTAATATACCAAGACCTTGATAATAGTCGGCTATTTTTGTTGAATCTAAATCTCGAGAATATTTTAATATCAATTTGATGAGACATAATTTTTGACATTAATAATCTGATTAGTGCCCGAGAGCTTTAGCTCGAGGGCTTTAATCAATTGATTATTAGTGCCAAAGTTATGTAGAACCAAATTGTACAATGTTCAAGAAATTTAGCAACAACAAAAATAGTAGAATATTAATCAAGGTCGTTTACCTATATTTGGTCCATGTAATTATCTATAAATTACTTACCTTAAGGATTCCTCGGATATGCATTTTGGCAATCATTTCCGACGTGAAAAGGAAAGTAATGATGGTATCAATAGAAAAAGTAGTTACTTGCATAAAGTGGAATTTTTCGAAGGTTTTTGGGGTATTGCAACTGACCGAAGCCAGACTTAAAAGAGCACATGATCTCATTATCCGACGGACCCATCTCTGAAATCAAAGTATAAACATTGCATTGTTATTGCATTATTATTTTTTTGGGGAACTTACGGCCCAGACAATCATTTAAGATTTTTGTTATCTACTCCTAAAAAATTACATATATCTTCTCCTAAATTTCGTAACAGAGTAAAATCTTCACTAAAAAATTATATTATATTCTCCTAAATTACTTAATGAAATAAAAGCTGTATTAGGATAGGAATGCCTCAAGAGAGAGATATAGAGATAGAGAGAGAGAGAGAGAGAGAGTGCGTGAAATTATGTGAAAGGTAAAATAAAATTTAAAACTATTTTTTCAAAAAATTATTACATTAGTTGATTTTTATATTATTTATAAGTTAAAAGAGATAAACTAAAATAAAGTGACCTACATTTAAGGTTTGACGTTTTTGGTATGGTTATTGATATGAAAAAAGCATACAATATGGTTTCAAGACAGGTGATTTGGATGACTGCATCGACATACTAATGAAATATGTTCACTAATTCTGAATTTATGCGCAAAAATCTAATGTTCAGAATGACAGAAGATAGATCTCAATACAGATAAAGGTAAAAAGCAGTAGAAAAGTATATTATACCTTTTTTAAAACACTAAAAGTTTTTTACCTACATCTGTACTGAGATCTATATTCTGTCATTGTGAACCCCCAATATTATCAGCTGAGGTTTCCTGATCAAAGAATACCGAATAAGCAAGTGTTTATACATAATGTGCATCATCATTTAAAAGAAAACGGTAATTTTTCTAAAGCTACTGTAGTACGTCCCGTGTATATGTAACGTGTGGAGGGTGGGTTAACCCAAGTCATACTAGGCTCATTGTGCATCCTTCTAAGTAGATAGGCAACTCCTAGCTCGTGAGCCATGCAACAAATTGAATGTAGTTGACAACGTCGCCAAGAGGTGCTTCTCTTATATCGGCCGGTGTTAGCCAATACTCGCCGAACACAAATCTCCTAATAAATAAGAGCGACGAGCAATCGTAGAGAATATGCTAGATGGTCTCATCTTCTTGTTCGCACCCTCTGCAGAGTGCGGATTCTGACAGCCCCATGATATGGAGATGCTTACGTACTTGGCAATGACCAGCCAGAATGGCTGTGACTAGGCGCAGATTCTGTTTAGTCATGGTCAAGTATTTGTTTGCTGCAGTGTTGTCAGGATTAAATCTCCTTGACAACTCTGTAGTTTCTTGTTTTATCCCATCTTTCCTTGAATTTCACAAGGGAATGTTCTTTAATTAGGTCTGTCACTACCGATTTTGTCAGGCCAATAGAAGGGCCAGGTCCAAAAAGTATTTGGTTGGCTGCTTTCTTGGCCAGTGAATCAGCAAGACGGTTACTTTTCGATGTGGCGTGACCTTTAATCCATCTTAGGGTGATCACGTTGTTGATGGATACTTCGGCCAAAACTTCGTGACATTCCAGTACTAACCCTGAATAAATTCGTGGTCTGTTCAGGGTGCTTGTCTGCTATCTGTATATATGAGCAAGTTCTTTCCAGTGATATTGTTTCTGGTGATTTCTTTTACTGCTATGAAAATCATCGTGAGCTCTGTTTGAACTACACTGGCACTATCGCTCACAGCCCATTTTATGTTAAGGAGTATGTTCCACATCCTGGACCTTGTTTTGTTTTAGAACCGTCGGTGTAGATATGAATCGTACCTGCCACTTCTGGCTCTTCTATTTATTCTGTTATATGGCTTATGTAAGATATATCTCGATGAGATGAAGTCCATGTTGGCTTGAAGCAGTGGGAGCGTATCAAGCTCCTCCTGCCAAAAGCCAAGTCTCGCCTCACCAGATCCTACATCAGGTTCTCTTCCAACCGTGTGGAGCTGTCAATTTTTGGGTTTTCGGTACCCAGACAACTGCACCGTATGTTAGCATAGGTCTTATGATAGCAGTATAAGTCCATGCGACGACTCTGGGGGAGAAACCCCAAGTGCAGCAGCATTGTTCTTTTGACTTTTCATGTTAACTTGCTGTCAAAGGTGAGACCTAAGTACTTCACCTCTGTTGCAAAGTTTAGTTTTGAGTTTAGGAGTTCTGGAGGTTTTAATTCCATTTTCACGGACCATTTCAGTCTTCTTAGAATTGATAGGCAGTGAATGGTCCTCACACCACTGTTCTATAATTTTGCGAGCTACTTGCATTCTTTCGCAGAGTGTTCTCAAAATTCCTTGTTTGCAGAATGACCAGGTCATCTGCATATGCTATTGTGTAGTGAATGTTATTGTTGAGGCGGCTGATGAGAGTGTTGAGGACCATGATCCACAGTAGAGGTGATATCACCCCTCCCTGTGGACATCCCCTCGCAACCAAGCCTCTTATATTCACATCTTCTACACTTACCTTTACTGCTCGCTTTGAGAGCACTAACCATCTGTGGAACATTACTGTTGGTTAGTGGGTGTATTATCTTGGGAAAGGTGGTTTTATCAAAAGCACCTTCTATGTCTATGAAAACACCCAAGGCGGACTCCTTATTGTCCAGGGATCTCTAAGTCCGGCCAGCAACTAGATGAAGGGCTGAATCAGTGGATCTACCTGGGGCGTACTCATATTGTTTGGGTGTAATGGTGGTGTTGTTGTAATCACCGCATCCCTTAAGTACCTTTCGCATAGCCTTTCCAATGTCTTCATGGAAAACGATGTTAGACTAATTGGTCGGTATGTTTTTGGGACAGTGTAATCCATTCTTCCAGGTTTGGATATGAATACCACCTTTACATCTCTCCATTTTTTGGGGATATACCTCAGAGCTAACGAGGATCTGAATATACCCACCAGGTGCAATGTGAGTTCTTCCAGACCCCACTGAAATAGGGCTGGATAGATACCGTCAGGTCCTGGCGATTTAAATGAAGAGAAGCTGGATATTGCCCATTTAATTTTTTCATCGTCTACAAAGTGTGTGGCAGTTTACCAATCATAGACAGATGGGATGTATTCTTCCTCTGCCCAGTCGGTCACATCTGTGATGACCGATTCAGGGAAGTGTGTTGACAGCAGAAGCTTGATACTATCTTCGAGGTTGGCAGTTTTAGGGCCATCCTCTTTGATAAGCACACCAATGCCTCGCTGTGGATCTTTTGAGAGAGCTTTTTGAAGCCTCACTGCCTGCGTGAAATCTTCGATTTCTTCGCAGTAGAATCTCCATGCATCTCTCTGTTTTTGTCTGACGATTTTTCTGTATTCTCTGTGGTGAGATTTGTAGGTATCCCAGTCCTCTTTGAGTTATGTGGTTTTGTCTTATTAAATGATACAGAATGTTCATTGGCCTTCAAAGAAACGTCCATATCGCATTTAATGTATGTAGCAAACGTTCGTTGGATGCGAAATCGCAAAGATCGATGACGAAGTTATTATTCCTTTTTAAGAGTACATGCTGGCAAAAAAGCACTTAAAGAAAAACTAGAGAAAAAGCCATCCATATGATCGATGTTTGCGTCATCATATATGCAAGACGTTGATGGTTTACGAGCGTCCTATAATATACTTTTACTAACAGCGAAGTCGGAGAAAACCCACAATTGGAGAGCAGCTTATTTTACCAGCCATTGTGGAGGTCCTCAACAATGTATTGCACAAGCCCGCACATGATATTATAAAGAGAATTCCTTTGAGCAATAACACCGTTCAGAAACGAATAGACGAGATGGGTCGAGACGTGAAAAACATTTTATGCAATTTTTCACAGAAAAACAGATTCTCTCTTCAGTTGGACGAGTCTACATTACCCGGCAATTAAGCTCTCTTGTTAGGATATATTCGATGTATTAAAGAAGAAAATATGTGCCAAGAACTGCTTTTGCCACATACTTAGAGACTGATACCAGAGGAGAATTATTTTTTCAGGCCGTGGAACATTTTTGATCGACAAAGCTATTCCATGAAAGAACATTGTTTCTGTTGCGACTGATCGTCATCGTGGTTTTATAAATGGTCATTCACTGTCTGATTACCAGACAGCATTTACTAGCAAAAAATCTGAGTCCTAGATTACACCAGTCTTTACAATATGTTATAAATGCTGTCAACAAGATTCGAAGCAATTCTTTAAACTCTCGGATATTTGCTCAGCTATGTGTGGAAAACAAAGTCTTTACTCGGTTATACTTCTGCACACTGAAGTTCGCTGGCTATCAAGAGGATCCTGCTTACCAAGATTTTCAGCTATTTTTGAATCTGTGTTGTAGTTTTATAAGGAAAAGATCCGAATTTGAAAGAAAATCTGAACAATTGTAAAACAGATATTTATTATCTGACTGATATATTTGGTATGTTTAACAAAGTTAATTTGCAGCTGCAAAGTGACGATCTCAACTTGAATAAAACTAATTTTTTATAAACAAAATTTAAGCAGAAAAGAATATTCAGTTTCCGCATTTGTCAAAATTACCAAAAATGCTTCAAGACGATATTATTTTCTCATATGTCACTTACTTGGACGCATTACACAAGGATTTTACAAAGAGGTTTGAGTATCTCTTAAATTTACAAATTCCTCAATGGATCATAAATCCGTACAATATCACAATCATGGAAGAAGCCAATGTGATAATGCAAGAAGAGTTGATCACCATCAGCACAGAGGAGGACTAGAGGAGCTTAAGCAGAAGGTTCAACCAAGGCTATCAGAAGTTCTGGTTGCAGCACAACATTCAAACACAGTATCCTGTATTATTGTGGGACATTGCTGAAAAATATCTTATCGCTTATCGCTACCTAGTCGAAAAAGGCTTCAGTGTGGTCACAATCATTTTGACAAAACAAAGAAACCGTTTGAAAATCAACGAACGCGGAGATTTAGGACATATATTCTTCGAACTAACCCATTCTTTTGCGTTCGTTGGCCCAGTCTGTACTCATCTTTACTTTACTCTTCACACTTTAATATTGTCCATAACTCCTTAACAAAAGTGTATGAGATACTTTCGATTTAAAATTGTCCAAGATCTTAAGTTTTAAGCTGTGGCT